TTATGGAATTAAATAAGCAAACACATTTGTTGACTTTCAGAAATGATTTTAATTTTGAATATTTCTAAGACTTGACAGACAGAAGGCACTTCACAGAATGAATATCTACAAGAGACTGATAGAGGTATTACAAGTTAGACTCAATTGCCCCGGAGAGCGCAATATAATTTCCAGCCCCTGAAATATTTTCTTTCCCTTTTTTTTTCGTCTTCTGACCCCTTCTGGTCAGCAGATGTATTTTTATAAATATCCAAATGTTATAAAAACCAAGGAAGGACTGTGGACATTTCCCTTGATTTTACAACCAAGGAAAATTCCGGAGAATGTGGCTATAAACTATCCTTACTCAAAATGAGAAAATAAAACCTAGACAGTGTGAATTTTATACCCGGGGAAATCCCGGAAAACCAATATGGTACAATGCACGAATTGTTTTCTGTTTTCATACAAGTAACAGCTCCCATTTATCGTATTCATCTAACGATCGATCAATTCATTTTTTGGCAATGAAAAATTTATCCATCATCGAGACTCGAGCCTGTGCGCAGGACTTAAGACAAAAGACTTATTTATTTAAATAAAATTATTTCCACAATACCTTATTACACTGTTTACTTGATATGGCTGAAATGGCCTGCAAGAGTAGAAGAAAATTTGTTGATAGAACTCGATCTCTCTACAAATATTGCTGTTCTTCGTGTCTTCTGTTCATATCTCACTGTGATTTGATCACAGCCAAAGCCACTAAGAGTTCTCAGTCAAATTGAATGCCAATAATTGGAGGGTGAATTTTCCGAGAGGTTAGCAATCATTTTCAAGGCAGATTTCGATAACACTCGAATATTGGCTTGTTAAAGCCGTACTATATTTTTGGTTCTACTCCTGACAAATTTTCTATTGCAAATCGTGCTCGAATCATTACATGAGTAAGGAATTCGCTGAGAGACTTACCAATGGATGATGATTTCATCGATTTACTTCTGGATCCGGTTAACTATGATTTCTTTATACTTCTCAATTTCTATCTCATTTTTGCTTCACACGGATGCACTATTTACGGAAAAGTATTGTCCCCTTTATCAGGGGCAAATTTCTTATATTTTTTTTATGTTTTTTTTGTTGTTTTTTATGTTTCAGGCTTCAATGGATTTACCACCGGATAAAGCGAAGTTATTGAAGCAATATGATAATGAAAAGAAATGGGACATCATTTGTGATCAGGTCAGTATTATATTTGACTTGCATTGATTCATATTTTTCAGTCAAGTTAGTTTTTGACGAATGCTGAGCCTATTAATTATGAAGTAATATGGGAATTGGCTTTAAACTCTTATGGTAACAGTACAACGTTAACATTGGTATGGTTCTATCTTGTAATGACTTTAGCACTGTAAAACTTACTCCATTATAACTATTTCAATATTATATGGTGAGTATTAGAAATTTTATACTATCAGTAATATTTATTAACCTGCATAGCGTTTACCATGTGCCGATTCCGACACCCAGTGAGACTTGACCTGCAGTGTTGGACACTGCTGCGCCAGGCACACTCAAAGATATCGAGGTATCGGAGTATTGACATTATAACGTGGCTAATTTTTCCGTAAGAAACACATGGGACGTTATCCGCCCTTTTCCATCGATCAACTAAAAACCTATATGGGCGCCAGTTACTTTTGGTCCTCGGAGCAACAAACGGGATGAAAAAGAAAGCAGAATAAAATTCGTCACAACCACAACCTAAAAGATGGACAAGGTGGAACTGCTCCGGGATGAAGTTGTGGAGAGAGGCATGGGTCGAGATGGAAATGAGTCATCAGGTTGTAACGTGACATTTTCCCGGGAGACAGAAAAATGCCCATTACCTTCGCCCTACTTCCCTTAAGCCTAATAAAACCTGCTAAAATTTAACCTTATGGGCGCCAGGTAATTTTTGCCCGGAATTACCAAACCGGAAAAAGTCCTTAATCCTAAACTTAACTAACCTCGAAATTCATTGTATCGAAAATCGTACCTCAAACTCCTAAAGCTCTAACTCAAAAATATACTCTAAAATCAAAAAGGAAACCTGAAGGGAACGGGAAGGATAATTAGGCTTCGGGGAAAGGTGACGGTCCTGGGGTCGCTCAGTATGCCAGTTGTGGAGAGACGGGTGGATGTAGATGCGGGGCAAGGTTACTGCAAAAATCGGGAAAAATACCAAAAAAAAAGGAAACGGGAGGTGAGAAATAAATTAATGCAACAAAACATTGTCCTTACGTGTTCCGCTATTCATGTCCAAATTCGGTACAATAATAATAAATGATAAGCAATTGTATTATAGCAATCTGCTTCCGAATCTCATTAGCCAATTTTAACTTCCTCTAAATATTACGTTCCAGCCGAAAATCTCCAAATCGAAATTTAATTCTCCTTTTCAATTATCGCGAAATAGGTATTTTCTAACAAAAATCCAAATAAAACTTCAACTGCCCCTTAAATCGCCGCGGACATAATTTATTTAACAAATACCGAATATATCGTTGAATATCCCACACTTGTATCCAATAATCTCATCGGAATGCGGCCTCAAGGATTATCGATTGGCGATAATTCGAGGAATAACCGAAATTTTATTTGCACCCGGGAAATCGATAATTTCCCGGAATCGGACCCTCAATGGGTGAGCGCGGGCGAGAGAGAGAGCGAGAGAGCCGGCACTATGCCGCGCTGCTCGGTTAGCAGCGAGGAGAAATACACAAAATAAATCTAACTTCACTTTAAATTCGATAACTCGGAATCTGCTCAGCAGATTCCGGAAAACCCTTGGCCATCTGGTCCGCGACATCATTCCCCACACTCCCACAAAGTTCAGGCGTAAGGGCTCAGAATTAACCCCGTTTACGCAATTAATAAACACGAGGAAATTTTAATACGCGATTCCCCACCTGTTGCTCACAGCCACTCGTTGGCGGCCTCGATTGCGCCACGAGAGAGAACCACTGGCCTTATTCGTTGGCCGGGGACAATTTCACTCAAAATCCGTAAAATACATTACCCCCAAAATCCCCACAATTTACACGAATGACCTCCCAACCGCACTGGGGGATAATACAGGCCGGAGTTACTTGAACAAATCCTCCACCACCTCTCCAAAACCACCCAAAATTTTGGGGGACACAACCGACGCCATTTCCATGGCTCAGACAAATCCACTACCACCAATTATTTATCGGGGAGCCGCCAAAAAGGGGAAAAGGTCCAATCAAAACCGTAAAAACTCACTGTGGATTTTCTTGCTGCCCTTCTCTTTCGTTTCAGGACCATCCTGGTGGCAGCTAATTGTCCTGGTGTTCTCGGGATGGTGCACTATCACGTCTCACTACTCACTATTATTTTTCTCCCGTGTGGATGTTTCCGAGGTTAATGCGTAACTGATTTTCGGGGGTCAGTGTCGCGTTGCGCTGACCCCCTAATCACGCCTACCAATCGATCAGGTGTCGATTGGTGGATCCCTCTGCCTTATTCTGGGTCAAGCCCTTCGCGGGAGGAATTAATTCCAATTTGAATTAATTCCCCATCCCTAAAATGCCCTCATTTCCTTTTCCGGATCGGATCTCCGGGATTCTCGTGACTAAAAGACCCTTATTCCTAAATCTTAAACCTAGTTTTATTTTCCTAACCCTTAATTAATTTGGCAATCCGCCGGCATAACGACTGATTTTATCCCGAGCGGCCTTCCACCCGTATGCAGTCTTGGCAATTCGTAGGGGTAGTGACTGAATCTACCCCGTACGACCTTCCACCCGTAATCAGTCTTTGGCAATCCGTCGGGGTTGCTAATATTTTTACCCCGTACGGCCTTCCACCCGTACCAATTAATCCCTTAAACCCTTTTTTCTAGAGCCCCGGCTTTTTAGCCGAACCTACCCGACCCGGAGGGCTTACTCTCTCATCCTCTAGAAAATCCCTCACACCCTTAACCTACTCTAAACCACCCCGAAAGGGGGGAGATTCTAATTTTCCTAAACCTAACCTACGTCCCAATTGTCTCACTCTCTCCCGATTTCTTATTTTATTGGGGATTCTAACGGGCATCCCCGATGCTCGTTAGAAGGTATAGGCTAAGGCACCAGATTCAATAAAAAGAGCTCAGATCATAATGCTGAAAAGTAGGATAGTATATTGTCCCCCAAAAAGCAAGACTTTACAAAAGGAAACGTGAGATGCTCCGAGATGAGAGTAGTAACATCTTCGATGTACGCACAGACCCCCCCACAAAAAAGAAAACCAGAATGAGTCCTGAATGAAAGTATAATCTCAAACGCAAAAAAGAGAGCTAACCGCGACCAGTATCTACCGAGAAGACCATTTGGAAAACCAATTCGTTAAGCCTGCAAAAATCGTGACCTAGTCGAAAATATGTGAATTGCTCGAAAGCTCCTAATGTAACGGTCTACCAACCTCTTTTTAATGGAGGACAACCGCAGGGGCCGAAATCGGCAAGAAAGCGACCAGCGCAAGGCGTCAAAAGGTGATAATCGAAGTCACCCCATTCGGAAGTCCTGGAACAAGCAGAATTTACACAACTTCTTCTTGTTGATGGCGACTTCCTTTGGCCAATCCAACTGTTATGAGGTAGCCTGTATGGGAGAGCTTAAGACGGCACGTAATTTCCAAGTACCAAAATTCGGTGGCCACCTTTTTTATGGGTTAGATAATTCAAATCGACAGATCACGGTCACTTTTTCAGGGGTCGAAATTCTCCCATTCGACTCCTAAGACATATAAAAATGGGGGCAATTGTCACTGCACCAGTTCATTATGCAGTGTGACGTTGTTGCTGCTACTGTCGCTCTTGCGTTGTTATTGTCACGACTACTGTTGTTTTTTTTCACTCGACATTCAGTTCCGTTTTGGCTTTTGGGTACTTCTAAGACAAAATCCAAAATAGTGAGACATCATTTTGACGGCTGTGTTCTGCTCTTTAAAATGATGTAAATGAATTAATTTTTCTTTTCTCCTATACACTTTTGGATTTTTACTAATTGTTCTCTTAACAGCCTTCAACCCTTGTACCATTTTTGCCGAAAGGAAGAGGGAAACCTCATTCGAGGGAAAAAACCTGCCCTGATACAGTCGTCCTTCGACGGGACTAGCGCTCGGCCGTAAATCTATGAGATTAGAGCCCTATAAATTTTGACCGCCGGAGCCAGGGATCGAATTCGGATCATTGGCGTAGGAGTCTACTCTCACTCTAACCGCACGGTCAATACCGTCGGATTTTCACAAGGATATATTTCAACCATGTTTCGGTTTAATTTTCAAAGGAACATGATCATTTTTTTCTATTTTCACCATCAATTTTGCGGTCAATTGGACATTTTACGCTAAACTTGCGACGTGACAGTTTCCACTCTATGGAAAATGCCCATCACGTTAATTCTTCCTCCTTATAGCCGCCTCGTCGATAAAAAAAAAAAACAGAAATTGTGACCTAAAAACATTGCCGGGCGCCAGCTAATTTTTCTTCATCGAGGAATCGGCAACTCGAAAACTTAGAACTAACAAAAAGGGCCAAAACGTCCCGATTGGCAATTCAGACAGGGGTCACACCAGGGCCTAATAAGGTTGCCAGATTTCGTATTTACGGCCTCAATCAGGCAAAAATAGGAGTGTACAGAAAGGCCTGATCTGGGGCGTAACGATTTGGTAAAGCAGGCCCACATGATTTCTGCCTTACCCGATCCACATAATCTTTGCCGCATACGGCCCTGATAACTGTAGACCAGGCCTCGGCAAAGTCGGACCTTCGGGAGCCGGGGCTATAAAACCCTATTAGACCCATTATTAGAAATACAATACCCCAATTACTTGAGCGCAGCGTGGTCAGGGTGGGAGTAGCAGCATGCAGGAAGTGGGGGCAGTTAGACAGAGAGAGCATCGCGCGCTTTCCTTTCAAATTTAAAAAACCTTACCGCCTAAAAATTCAAACAAATTTTCACCAATTGAACGTGGTAAATCCTCAGTTGTATCGGGGGTAATGGTTCAAAGATCATGGTGCCAGAAATTGATTATTTCTTGGTTACCTTAATATTGAATAATTATTTTAGTAAAAATTGGAAAAAAATGAGATGTCAGTTCTTTAAAATTCAATCAATAAATTATGTATGTAAGTTTTATACGTTCATAAGTTCAATAATATTTATAAATTTTGCCCACTCTTGGCCAGCACTTTT